TGGAGATGCTGAGAAATATTTTATTTTCTCAGTGATGCTCCACGTCCTCAATAGAGAGGTGCTTAAATATGGATTTGTGATTCATCTGGAAGTACCTGCAAAATTCTGTGCTGCACAGAAGCCTCTGCAGGTCATAAAAAGCATACTTTGAACTTAAACCTTACAGGTACTTTAACTACTGCAGCTGCCACAGAACTACACGTGTCAAAGCAGCCTAACACTGGCACCATCCTAAATCTCAGGGCTGGCCAGGGACTGAAATTTCACTAGGTAGTTGAGTAAGGATCTAATCATGTTCTCCCTCCTAAGGTGGTATTTTCAAGTCTGACTTTCCCTCACTGCCTGGTGATGACATTCGCTGTCTAGGACTCGTTTTCATTTTGCTAAGTACCTCTGAAGCAGGTGTTCATGGAGCAAGTACAGTGGTACATTGCAATGATCCAGCTGCCCCAGGAACACAAAATTCCCAGTTTCCTACTACCATTAGCTGCAAAGTCTCCCTTTCCGCACCCCCCCTCCCCCCTCCCCCCCATGTGGCTAGCATTGAGTCCAAATTGCACATGGTTGGGTTCAGGTATTCTGTGCTGCCAGAGGGCAGAGAGGGCATGCTCACAAGCTGCAGTGGCTCACTGGCTTGGAGTCAACTACTGGTACAATGCAAATGACTTTTAGGTTACAAATGCTCATATTTCTGAGCACTAATCAAATAACTATGCATATTTAGCTTCATTAGGACTTTTAAAATTCCAGGCACTGGAAATGAAGATACCTTCACATTGTTAGGGTTTAGGATTTGCATCTTTGAAAAATGGCTGAGATTTTTGTTTATTAAGGTTGGCAAAGTATAGAGGAGGATTCGGGAAAAGAGGACAGAAATTAACCACATTTGTGTGGTTGGTTTTATCCCAAAACAAAGCTATTTTGCCACATGATAAACACATAAACAATTTGCAATGGCAATACTGGCAGACATTTAATTAAGGTAGCATTATTGCTAAGAATTTTAATATAGAAAAATTGTCTGTCCACCTTTGTTACCACTTTATTTCAGCTAAAACATATTTGTTAAATAAATCAAATAAAAACCAAGCCTTACTTACAGCATTGTACGCCACAAGATGTCTTTTAATTTTTGCTGCATTTGTGTACCTAGTGAAGAAGAACAACCAACCAGCATCTTCCTGATAGATTTAGTTGCTCAGACAAAGAAACAACACAGACCTTCCTGCCACAGCAAATGTTCACTAAACCGGGTTTTCATGTGTTGGATGTGGTGTTTGAGAGGAAACAGATACTGCAGGGGTGTTTAATATAAGCTTGGTTTCTTCCTAAAACACACCTTGAATCCACTGATTCAAGTGTCAGGTCCTTTCCTTCTTTTTGATACACTGATACATTAATTATGCATTTTTGCTGTTCGTGTGAAATGTATTAGAGACAAAACATTCTACTGCCAAGATATTGTAATCACTGAGGTGGTATCAGCATTCCCAATATTACTGTCACTAGTGTATGGTACTATTTATAAAGCAGAGAAGTGAAATTTACCTTATGTGTGCAATGCCAACATTTCAAACCATCTTGAGAAGAAGTAAAATAGCATTTTCCATCGGAAAATATTTTGATTAGAAATTACTCAGTAAGTACCTCTAAAACACAGCCTTTGCTGCAAAGCCCAAGGGTCATTCCAACCCCAAACACAGAATGTATGTTAGACCAAAATTTTGTGGCTGCAGATCATCCTTCCATGGAAAGCAAAGCTGCCATAACGACTGATGTAACCACACAGTGTTTTCACCACCTGAAGCTCAAACCGAGATCCTTAACCCCAGATCCCAAATGTGGCTTTTCAGAGCATTCTACTGAAGAGAGCAAGAAAATATCATCAGTGAAGAAAGAAAACAACCACTATTATGGCAAAGCATTTCCATTTTGTACATCCACATGAACATAATAGACTGTGAAACAACTTGCACTTACATGTTGTAAACATGTACATTATTAAAACCATGTTCATTATTAAACTCTCTATATTATACACCGTTCTTTTACAGTCAGTTCATTTGTGTCTTTAGAAACTAGGAATGCCTTCTGGAGGCCTCCTGGGAACTGCAGTGAGCCCCAAAGCTATTCAGAAATATGGCATTCATAGCAGAGCTTCTTTATTATCTTTAATGACTAAATCATTCTTCCCATTGTTCACTGGTAAAAGTAGAAATAGCAATAGGCGAAATACTGTTGTCTGAAAAATAACCACCTCTGTGTTCCTTGAAGTCTGAAAAACAGGTATGTGGCTTGAACAAATACACACGATTGTATTTTCTTGTAAATGTTCCACTGGCTTAACCATGTGATGTTCTGCACTGTTGACAGACCGTTAGTTCTTGTTCCCCAGTTCCTCTCTTCTTCCGTTGTGGCAGTGCCAGCAGCTCACTCCTCACACCGGAGAGGAAGCTTTGGTGTGCACAGTGGCTACGTGCGTGTGCTGGTGGCACAAAAGCAGCAAGCCCCTTCCCTGCAAGGCATTGCCACATGTACAGATAGCAGGAGTTTTGTTCCCTCTCATAGTGCTGGGCTTACACCTATCCCTCACAAGTTCATTCCTGGAAGAGACTTTTCCAGTAAGATGGTGACTCAGGTAGACATGTATGGCACACTCCATTTAAAATTTACAAATGGAGGATAAAGCTTAGTGTCAGTGAAGCTTAAGATAAAGCTTGTCAGATGAACACAATATTAAAAAATGGTTTCAAATTGCTAAGGATGAAGTTTTCTCCAGTTTTCAAGGTCTACTCCAAAGTGTATCGCATAAGTCATTCCTGAACACTGAAGAGAGTTGTTCACCACTCATTTAAGTCAACAGGGATTTGTTTACTAGTTTCAATAGCACCTGGAATAGATTATCAAGGTTTACAGCAGGACTATCTTATGATCTCTTTCTATGGGACTCTCTGAAGTGTGTTTTACATTGTGGCATACAGTCCTTCCTCAACACACCTGCAGGGTTAGGGCCTCTGTAGCCTCCAAAGCTACCTCAAAAGAACTGACATTTAGGTCAAGTGCCTTATTTCAGATTTTCTCTTCTCATTTACTGTCTGACAAGATCTGGATTTAAGACTATTCTAACCCATGGTATTTTAAATACCTTATGCAGTGCTAAGGAGAAAAATCATTATGGATGGAACCACAGCAAGCAAATGAAGAAATTCTACACCAGCAGCAGAAATTCCATATGAATGCAACTACAGGATAAGGATATCATTCTGTCTCTCCCCATTCACCTGCCATGCAGGGCAGTATTTTTACAACTCACAGGTCAGGACTGGTATTTAGACGTTTGAGATGGGTGAGTGACACTTGCACTTGCAGCTGCCTCCTCCTCTGACCTTGTCTTCCTGCTTAGGCTGGGGTGGAAGCATGAGATGAAAGTGGATTAGAAAGGAAAACAAAGGGGGACTGATAATTTTCCAGCTTCCTTCAAAGTTAAAGACCTTGATGAATATCTTGAAGTTATTAGCATTTGAAATACCCCATGAACATCTCAGCCAAAGGCGAAGGAGTGGGAGTTTGTAGGACAGTTTTTCAGAGAGATGCAAGAAGGAATGACATGATATTAATTAGACATTTTATGCATAAAACTCCATGGGAGTCATAGACCTGAAAAACTTCCTTGGCACTGGCCTTGTTGCTTGCAGATTCTTTACAATTAGCTTAATGTGGGAAATTAATCTATTTTATTTCTTACGTGATTTGCAGAACTTTTGCAGTGACAGTACTGTAACTTCAAACTGCAAATCAGCTTCTTCCTGACCTGATTTGTGCCTTAGTAATCACATAGAGACTCTAATGATGCTTTGAATGTGTTATAAAAGGTGCTTATTACTCACAAAAATGTACATTCATCATGTTTTCCTGATGACAGGCTCACACATGAAATCACCACTTTCAACAGTCTGGGACTCAGAACACCAACCAGGTTCTAAAAATAGGTGCTTCTTGTGCTAAAACATTAACTTCTCCTTTCTTACCTGGGAACCTTTACTGAAGTGATCATAATTTTATAACAGAGACAAGCATTCCTCTAGCATTCATCTTAGATTGGCTATTAAAGAAAATAATAATTTCCAAACAAATTCACAGTTTATTCAGACTGAAAGATTTGTGACTTAATGATGAGTTTCTGGGCAGAGTCATAGGGTCACAATTTTTCCTATAAATAAATATCCTTGAACTACCAGTATTGTTAAACAAGACCTATTTTAAGATGCCTTTAGGACTTGCTTGAGGCAGCCTAAACAACTTAGCTGTTTTTCTGAGGGTGCCTGAGATCTTGGTATGTAATGGCTCTTTCACCTCCATTTGTTTTATCCACCTGCTAATGGGATGGTAATATTTTGGGGTATCCTTTGGGGATGGTAATTTTTTGGGGCACCCTTTGGAGATCATCAATATTTAAATACTTTGGAGTGATTCTGTCAATTATTTGATTTGTCTTGCAATTTGCAGAATCTTTTAAGAAGTCATCCAGCTCATTAAAAAGGGGAAAAGTAAAGGACTCCAAGCCAGATATATCTTCTGAGATGACAGTTCAAATTTTAGTGTTAAAGGAAAGTACTGAAAGCAAAAAGTGCTGAAAGTTTCCAATTGCAACGTGCTGGTTCTTTCTTTCATATTTGCTATGGGCTACCTGGCACTGTTACCACTGTCGTGTGGTCACTTCATGAAGCTGGTATCAGGAGATGTGGTGATGCCACAGCCTGGTGGGCAGGTCAATGGTCGGGCCCTGCTGCAGCACACAGGAAGAAATGTCATTCCCAGCGCTGCGTCAGATTCCTTCCATGCCATCGTTGTCAGAGGCTGATGTGGTTTGAATACCATGTGTCCTGTCACCTCAGCTTGCCCTCTCCGGCAGTGGCTTGGATTTCCACACTCCTACCGTTCTCCCAGTTTTGTTCACAAGCAGAATGTGAAATGATGTGTTTGAAATGGCTGGTGCTGAGCTAGGCAGATGTTTCTCCAGATTTTAACGCAACAAGTTCAGAGTCCTCTATGTATCTTCCATTTAACTGTTCATTGTTGGAATCATGGTGGTACAGGTAAACAGGGACCTCTGTGATTGACGTTGCAGTGTAGGAGGTAGATCGTGTGGAACAGTGCTCTCGGCGCCTTTGGCCCCACTGTGTTTTGTACTGTGTCCATTGCCTCTTCAAAGCTCCTTGTACCTGTTGAAGAAATGCATAGTTAGGGTGAGGCATAATATAACCCCCTTTAATTGTAGACATTTTAAAATATGCTTCAGGAAAAGGGAAGGGAAAGA